GAAGGCCCTCAGAGGCTGCGCAGAGACGGGTCCGCTCCGTGGGCCTGCCTTCGGCTCTGCTGACACCTGGGCTCTCTAGCTGCCCAGACAACGGGGACACGGCGGCCACGCACAAGTACAGTCACAGAGTTTCTCTGCCACTGTAGGAATGTGCCAGGGGCCGTTCTGCTTGATGACAATTATCATGCTGCTGGACTCTCATCTGACCTTTACCATYGATGGCCCCCCTCCCTGCCCTTCTTCCATATGCACAGTATTTCTATTTTTCCTTCTATTTATTCATTGACTTTGGTGTTCCTGGGGCTGGACTCCAGGGCCTCRCAGGGCCAGGCAAGCCCTCTCCCATCCTCAGCTCCCAGGAACCTGTCTGGGGCAGCCCCTGTATCCCAGGTTGTAGAGGCAGCTACACAACATGATGCGTTCATGAATTTGCTCACTGAATTATCCGTTCGATATGTATCTCTTGAGCATCGGTTGCATGCCACTGATGAAGATTCATAATATTCATTCATGTTAGTGAATAAATATTCATTAACGCCGTATCCCTTCATTTATTCAATAAACAGATACTGAACACTTGCTGTGTGCCCAGCACTAGAGGGACTGATATATATTATTTCATTCATTTGTTTGGTATGCATGTATTGAGCGCCTGCTGTGTGCTTGGCACTAGAGGTATTTATATATATATATATATATATATATATATATATACATCTCATTCATCATTCACCCAGGCAAGATGCTGTGTGGGGCATCTGTGTCCCTATTACGTAGGGAACTTGAAAGCTGCAGAGCCTCCAACTTCACAGAACTTTCATTTGCATTTTTAAACCACAGTCACATCCTTGTCCTGGGTCCTCAGAGCACCCCTGTGGAAAGAGATTATTTTCATTTCTGCTTTTCACATTAGCACAGCAAGGGCTGAAAGAGTCAAGTGATTTGCTCAAAATCAGCAAGCTGCACAGCAGGGCCTGGAGCCAGGATTTCCAGCCCAGAATGCAGTCTGAACCAGCCACTCCCCCTTCCACGGCCTTGGATGGCCACTCCCCCCCTCCAGGACCTTGCGTGGCTCCCTATTACCGCTGACCAAGAACACAAAGGCAACATGCAAGTGTGACAGACGGAGGCCAGGGGTGGCCTAGGGAAGTGGGAGGCGAGTTACCCCGACTCAGGCTCTACTCTGCTCCTCCCCRACAGTTACCATGACAGAATGCTGGTCTCGGGCTATGAGATAACCCAATTTAAAAAWATATATATATGCTGTTTGTTTTTATGCAAAATAAAATGTTTTTGAAATGGAGGCAACTTACTCAAAATCTTCTAAAACACTGTGAGAGACAAAGAAAACAGGGCTGGAGCTSGGGCTCAGAGGAAGAATGTATATAGCATTCTCAAGGCGCAAAGCCAAGTCCTAGGACACATGGCAGGGGGCCATACTGGGCCCGTGGGCCACCAGTCAGCGACCTGTGGTCTAGACAGCCTGCTGGTGCCTGGGCCCAGCCTGCACCGTGCTGTTTTCCAATCAATCTCAAGGGAGAGGAGYACAGCCCTTTGGGCCCCAAACAATAAGTGGCCATCTCAGGCCCCAGCAGACATCTAAGGACATTCAGAGCATTTCTATAGAGTCCTCCCAACGACCTCTTGCAACGCTATCAACTCTGTTTTGCAGATGAGGAAACCAGTCCAGAGGAGAGGTGCAAACGTGCCCAAGGTCACAGTGATGGGGTGTCCACCCAGAGCTCCTGCTAATGCAGGGATGTTCAAAGGTGAAATGACCGGATGGGGAGAGCTCTGACCCCAGCCGTCCACCCAGCTTGAAAGACTGCCTGGGTGGTAGCTGCAAGCAGGTGGGGCACCCTGAGCTGAGCAGCTGTCCCCCACTGGTCCTCCCCCATGACRCTGCCCCACTCAGACCCAGAGCAGTGGAGYCGGCCCACCACGGACGGAGACCTCCGAAACCCTGAGCCAAACGGACTCTCCTCCTCCAAGAAGTCGTTACTGCCAGGTATTTTGGTCCCAGCGACAAAAAGCTAACTAAAACATCTAGCTCAACGCGGGCCCTGGGACGTGACCCCTAATGTGCTTACCTCACTGACCGCCAGGCTACACGCCCAGCGTCACTGTCACCTTCACTATTCCGTGGCCGCCACAGATCCCCAGCCCGCGGAAGCTTCTGTAGGAACCGAACTGGCTCTGGGAGTCCGAGCCCCAATGTGACTGCCCGGCAAAGTCACCAAGTGGACACCTGGCGGGAACCTCCCCGCTGGGCAGAGGCAGATCAGGACAGCCTCTGGTGGCCACGCTGGCCAGCTGCCCGGCCTGCCCCGTGTTCCTGGAACAGTCCTGGGGAAGCGTTTTCTAGTTACAGCCTGGTCCTGGCTCCCCAACACTGGGCAGCATCCTGAGCTGCAGAGGGGGCCTCCTCTCCCTCTGGCCACACAGCGGGTGTGGAATCTAGCCAACTGGTCCCCCACCAGGGGGGACCCCTGGGGGCAGCTCTTCCAAGCCTCATCTATTTGGGATGAATGAATGTCCAGCTGATCGGCCGAATTCTGGGGGATAATTCAATTCTGTCTGGGGGCAGCCAAGGTTGGGGTGAAAGACGTGGATTCTGGAAGCAGAACAGACCTGTGTTTCGAGTGCTTTGCCATCAATGGGCACCAGGAACTTGGCAAACAACAGAATAACAGTGGACATGAATGAAGCTACTTCTCTGTGTCCAGAGCTTTATATGCAGTGCCATTTACTCCTTGCAACCGCCCTACACGAGAGGGTGTTATTTATGACTTACAGATGAGGATGGAGGCACAGAGAGGTTGGGTGACTTGCCCAGGGTCACCCAGCCTAGCTGGGATAGGAACCCAAGCAGTCTGGCTCAAGGCCATGCTTTTTATAGCAATAGGCTATTAGTTCACTTGTCAAAATGAGCCACGTAGGTAAGTCTTGGGGTGAGGGCTGAGCAGGCCAGAGGATGGAGACTGAGGATGAAGAGCTAACTCTTCATGATACTGCACCTTGGCTCCACTTCGGCACATGAACATCCTGCCCTGGGGCATCCTCTGTGATGTGGGGGTCCTCTGTACTGTGGGGTACTGGGCAGAACCCCTGTTTTCTGCCCACTGGATGCCAGTAGTGGCCCTCCCCCTACCTGTGACAATTAAAAATGTCTGCAGACATCGGCAAGGGCTCCCCGCTGGTCTAGACGGGGCCCAAGTCCACGAGATTCAGTGAAATCCAGGCTCAAGTTTTCTGAGAGGCCCCCGCCTGGTCCCGCCCTGCTCTCTTCTCCTGTCTTGTTTCTTGGGTTGGGGGTGCTCTCTCCCCTCCTCCCTCCAGCCAGAAAAAGGGCGCAGCTGTCACTCACAGCCTTGGGGAGTGGGGTGTGGGCGGGTGAGGCCAGAGGGCTGAGACCAGGGAGGGGTCAGGCAGCCTCGAGAGGCCTTGACGGCCACCCCCGCAGCCCCGGAACCAACCCAGGTCCTTTGGCATGATGGCCCACGCCACCTCTCAGCCTGTGACCCATGGCCACTTCTGGCAGTTGGAGGTGGCCGTCTCCCTGGTGTCTGCCGGCCCAGGGTTTCCCGCCCAGATCGAGGGGATACAGCTGGAGCCTACTGCTCGCACAGCACGGCCTAACATCTGCTCATTCACTGGGTCCACACAAATGCATTGAGCACCTGGAGATTTAAGCCACCAATGTCACGGTTAAGACCACAAGATCCACCTCTGTGACATGACTGTGTGGCTTTGGGCAAGGTGCCCGTCCTCTGTGCCTCAGTTTCCCCTTCAGTAAAGCCAGAGTGGTCAACAGGTTGAGCGTCCCTGTCCCACACACCTGGGAACAGAAGTGCTTCAGATTTCTTTCTTTTCTTTTTTTCAGATTTTGGAATATTTRCACAGATTCTATCAGCTGAGGACCTCCTAATTCACAAATCCAAACTGCTCCAAAGTCCTAAATGTTTGGACAGCCAGGCCAGCACGCAAACATCCCGTGTTTCCAGACTTTGGAGTCTGGGGTGAGGGACCCCACGTAAGCACCAGCTCCATGACTGGATGAGCTGACACAGGAAGCACGCGTGGCCTGGTGCCGGCGACACAAGGCCGTGACGTGTTAGTTACAGTGGCAGTTTCCCATCACCTACCCACCATGTCCCCTTTTCCTAACAGAATTCCACGTTTGCCTAGGTGCCTGACCCATGCCCAGCCCAGGAGTTCAGTTTTATAAGCCTAAGCCACTGGTTCTCAAAGAGTGGTCCCTGGACCAGCAGCAGCAGCATGGCCTGGGAACTTGTTAGAAATGTTACAGTTGCCCTTTCACGGGTCTGCGGTGCCTGTCCTTGTACAGAGGGATTCATGCTATCGCTCCACATTGCACTGGAGACAGTACAGGTTCAGTTATAGTCTTTATATAGATGAGGAGGTTGATGCTCAGAGAGGTCAATTCACTTGCACAAGGTCACACAGTCAGAAGCAGAAAAGTGAGGTGGGAAGCCAGGTCCACATGGCACTCAGCAAATAATCAATAGGCTACCCTGCCTCTGGAGGAACTGCAAGGTGTTAGAGACGGACCAAGAAAGAGAACAATAAGGCCATCAGGGAGTATCATCTAGAGCGTGTGCTCTCACAGTGGTGGCTTTAYGGAGCTCCTTACTCCCCTGAGCCAAGTTCATGGTCAGGAGGACAGCAGCTTTGCATGCCGGCAGAATCAAAGACCCAAACGCAGTGTAACAAAAATAAGAGCCACGGAAAAAACCCAGGGGACAGTCCTAAGCCGGGAAGGGAACAGGCAATAAAACTGCAAGAGCTGGCGGGGGGCCGCCCACCTGCAAACCAGCAACGACCCACTCGGGACACGAGCAGGCCCCCCAGCCACGTGGGACCTCACAGTGGCCCTAGCGCTGGGTCTCCCCACAGCCCACCAACGTGGAGGAGTTGCTACCCGCCAAAGTCACCCCCTGCCACTGCGGAGGACACCGGCAGAGAGGAGGTGGCCTTACTGTTTTCCTGCCGTACTGGTCTGAGATGTTTCCCCAGAGCGTGGAGCTGGACATCATGCCTACAAAGACCACCTGTGGACATAAAGACAGTTCCTATTAGCAACACGGAGCAGGAGCAAAGGAATGATCACCCAAACCCACAACATGGCACCCCGGAAAAATCATACGCCGAGCCCAGGTGTGGGGTGGGGTGGGGGGGTTCATGCCTGCAATCTCAGCAGGTGGGGAGGCTGAGGCAAGAGGATCGTGAGTTCCAGGCCAGCCTCAGCAATTTATCAAGGCTCTGAGCAACTCAGTGAGACCCTGTCTCTAAATAAAATATAAAAAAAGGGCTGGGGACATGGCTCAGTGGTCGAGCGCCCCTGGGTTCAGTCCCTGGTCACAACAATGAGCCAACACTGCGGACCTACCAGGGTGCAAACACCATCTCTGTGCTTCGCCCGGCCTCCTGGGGCTCTGGGCCATGGCACAGGGCAGGAGTTAATGTGAACCCTGTTTTTCAGATGAGGAAACCGAGGCTCAGAAAAGGGAAACCACTCCACAGGGTCCCACAGGGGTAGGTGTTGGCAGCCAGACTGGCCTCAGGCAGTGTGGCTCAGAACGGGGGTTTTACCAGTTTCTCACCAAAGAAATGTCTCCTGGTGCTAAGAAAAGAGCCAGGGCCGCAGTGTGGAGCTTGGCCGTGGGCAGGTGGGGGCCGGGCAGGGGGGGCAGACCACCCCTCCAGGGGCGCTCACTGTGCCAGGAAAACCAGGGCCGCTGAGGTTTGAGGGATCACCCCCAATCCATGGGTGGGGAGCTGAGCTCAGGAAGGCTAAGAGGCCTGCTGGGTATCCCCAGGCGGCTGACTGGGGCCTCACACCCTCCCCACCACCTGCCAGACACCGTGCTGAAGGCTTCACTCAGCTCTTCCCCAACCTCGTGGCCCTGCGAGGTGGTGCCGTTAGAGCCCACTTTACAGACAGGGCAACTGAGGCCCAGAGAGAACAGGCACCTTCTGTCGGACCCGAGAAGCCCTTCTCCTGGCACGTCCTAGGGTGGTGGCTAAAAACAGGGCGTATCGTCCTCGCCCGGTATCCGGGGGRGACTGGCTCCAGGACCGTCTGCAGACACCCCGACCCGCAGACACTCCCTGAGTCTCTTATGTAACAGGGCACAGAGTTGGCTGGTGACCTCTGCCGTGCTCCCGGATACTCCAAGCCATCTCTAGATGACACGTCATCCCTAATGCCAATGCCAGGGAGACGGCTGCCATCCACCCTCCACAGCCCTGTTCTCTCCTGAGACYGACTCGGGCTCTGAGCTGCTCCCCGCCTGGGGCCCTTCTCCGTGTCTCCCACTGCAGAGTGCACCCAGGGCCACGCAGACCCCCGGGACGCCGCGGAGGGGGCAGCAGCAGCCGGTCATCTGGGTTCCAAGGCCTTCACTATTATTTTTTAGTTGTAGATGGACACAACACCTTTATCGTTTCATTATTTCTATGTGGTGCTGAGGATGGAACCCAGGGCCTCACACGTGCTAGGCGAGCGCTCTGCCGCTGAGCCCCAGCCCCAGCCCTTGGCTTTTGGTTATTTATTTTAATGTTTTTTGCAGTTGTCGATGGGCAGCATGCCTTCATTTCACTTGTTGATGTTTATGCATTGCTGAGGATCAGACCCAGGGCCTCACACGTGCTAGGCAAGAGGCTCTGCCCCTGAGCCACATCCCCAGTCCTACTTTTATTTTTAACAAAGATGACCCAACCGGGGGGCCAACAGATTAGATCACTAAAAGTCATTTTTCATAAACGGTAAAGGTGTGCTCTTTAGTATGAAACTTGGAAGTTGTCTTAAATTCTCAAGTGGCATTAGTTTATTGAGTTATAATCGGATTCCTGCACACGTCTAAAACTTCTTTCACGTGAACAAACTTTTCATATTCAAATCCATTCAGTAAAAGTGACAGAAAAAGTGCTCAGACCTGGGTTACTTTAGCAATGAGTAATCACCCCAGAATGTACGAAAATACTTGAAAAACACTTCATACCACTCATTAAGGGGTACAGTCTCAATAAAAATTCACTTATGTTTAATAATTATTTGTTGCTGGGAATGGTGGTAGAGGCTTGTAATCCTAGGAGCTGAGGCAGGAGGATTGCAAGTTGGAGGCCAGCCTCAGTAACTTAGAACTTGTGTCAAAATAAAAAATAAAAAGGGCTGAGGATGAAACTTAGAACCCATGGGTTCAATCCCCAGTATCAAAAAAAACATTATTTGTCAAAATTAATTACATCTTGTTGTTGATCTACTGTTGTTACTAAAAATTGCAATGACAGATCAATGCAGGAGAAATACTTTAATGCTCAGAGCCTTCTCATCTCAGAAAATGAGAAACAATCATTTAATATTTAGATTTTTTTGTGACGGGTTTACTGGGTATTAAACCCAGGGGCACTTGACCACTGAGCCTCATCCCCAGCCCTATTTTGTATTTTATTTAGAAACAGGGTCTCACTGAGTTGCTTAGGGTCTCGTTAAGTTGCTGAGCCTGGCTTTGAACTCACAGTCCTCCTGCCTCAGCCTCCCGAGCTGCTGGGATTACAAGGGTGTGCTACTGCACCTGGCTTAATATTTAGCTTTGTCATAGAGAGTTATGATAGAGCGATGCATGTGATATTTTCAAGTGCAAGAAAACATTAAAATTATAGGGAAAAATGAAATAGAAATACCAATTCAAGAAGAAAACTACAAGGGCTGGGATTATCACTCAGATATTCATGGACTGCAGTCAGAAGGAGAGCATTGGTCCAACCTGTACAAGGCCCGAGGCTTAATCCCCAGCATCACAACAAACAAAATACCCACAAAAATACAATGCAAAGGTTCTAAAATCTTCTGAAGAACTTCTTTGTGTGTTTTGTGTTTGCTTGTTTGGTTTTAGGATTTTTTTCCCCCAACCCCTGGGGATTGAACCCAGGGGTGCTTCACCATCGAGCTACATCTCCAAGCCCTTTCTAAAATTTTTTTGAGACAGGATCTTGCTAAGTTGCTGAGGATCTCACTAAACTGCTGAAACTGGACTTGAACTGGTGATCCTCCTGCCTCAGCCTCCTGAGAGGCTGGGATTACAGACATGCGCCACCCAGAATGGCTTCTTCATGCTGTTTTGAAACAAATGATGGTGGGTACCAGGTAAGTATTTCAATTCCACTGGATAGATTTTAAAAACTAATATGATAACTTTATTTCAATTTTTTATATTTCAACATACTGGAAATGATATTTAATCTGCAATCTACAATTTTTAAGTTTTATTATCTTTTGCAGTGCTGGGGGTAGAACCCAGACCAGGTGAGTATGCCAGGCAAGTGCTCTACCTCTGAGCCACATCCCCAGCCATTCCTGGGCATCCATTATCCGGCCAACCATTTCCAACTCTAGTATTTCTTTTTCGGGAGTGTGGGGGGGTGTGCCGGGAATTGAACTCAGGGACACCTGACCACTGAGCCCCCTCCCCAGCCCTATTTTGTATTTTATTTAGAGACAGGGTCTCACTGAGTTGCTCAGGGCCTCGATTTTGCTGAGGCTAGCTTAGAACTTTCGATCCTCCTGCCTCAGCCTCCACAGCCACTGGCTCAACTTTGGTATTTCTTATGGCAACAGTGACATGCACGTCACACCCTCCTGACGCAGGCAATGGTAGACAGACTCGACCCCACTGCTCTGACTCTCCCACCGAGAACTCGGCCACGGGGTTCTGGCTCTACCTAACCCACATATTCCAACGCCACATCACAAGAAAGTTGTCCAGGGCGGTGGCTGGGACAGGGCCTCAGAGTCTGCGGGGCCTGAATTTCAAACCCGACTTGGACTCTGAACAGACYGTGTGACCTGGAGCAAGTCAACACGTTTTCTAAGCCTTGCTTTCCTCACCTATAGAAATGGGGCCCTACTGGGATCTCTTCCACAGGACACAGAGGGGTCAAAGAGAAAGTGTGCAGAGCCTGGCACATTAAGAAGTGCTCCATAAACCGTGGTTGTCATCAACCCCTGGCGGCCCAAGTGCAGCCAAGAAATCAAAGCAGATCAAATAAAAAATAGACCAATGACAGGACCAGAAAAGCCCTGCCCTGGCTCAACAGAGGCCTGCGGGGACTCTCATGGGGGCCTGTGGGAGGAGCTCACTCTCCCTGGCCGGGCTCCAGGCCTGGTGAAGTATCCTGTCSCCCATCTGCAGAGAAACAGGCCATYAGGCAGCTCACTYGGGCCACATTTCTAGGAGTATAAACCACGGAAACACAGGCGGCTGCTGAGTGGCAGGACCTCACTGTGGAAGGCGCTCAGGCCGCTCCAAAACCGTTATCTCTAAAAGATAGTGAAAAGAAGGATTAAAAAATGAAAGATCTAAGCCAGCCAGGCACAGTGGGGCAAGCCTGTAACCCAGGTGGCTCAGGAGGCTGAGGCAGGAGGATTTTAAGTTTGAGGCCAGCCTCAGCAACTTATTGAGACCCTGTCTCCAAGTAAAAAGGGCTGGGGATGTGGTTTAGTGGTTAAGTGCCCCGGGATCCAATCCCTGGTACGAAAAAACAAAAACAAAAAAAGACTCCTAGAGGCTTGGGAGGTTGAGACAGGACGACTGTGAGTTCAAAGCCAGCCTCAGCAACTTAGGGAGGCCCGAGCAACTCAGTGAGACCCTGTCTCTAAATAAAATATAGAATGGGGCTGGGGATGTGGTTCAGGGGTTAAGCAGCCCTGGGTTCAAAACTCAGTACCTCCCCCGACCAAAAAAAGAAACCCAAACCCCCAAGCAGCATTCTGGGATGCACTGACAGTAACTGCTCTCTCGGCCCCTAGCCAGGCCACGGGACCCTGAGTAGGACCTGGACCTCTCTGAGCCTTGTTTTTCTCAGCTAACCGTGGTACCAGCCCAGGGTCACAGGATGTACCTGTGCATACACTCTAGACAGTGTGGCTCGAGCCATTCACAGGAGGGGTCCGTAAACACTGGCTTTGAGATTCTCGTTATCACTCTCATCTGGTCTGGCGTCCCCCTTCCTTGTAGAGGGTCTGCCTCACCCTCCTTTAGGCCCTTGCTCCCGCAAGCAGCTCTAACCACCGTTTATTGAGCAACTAGGACATGCAGCACTGTGTTCTTTCTGGTCCTCAAATCGCCTCCTGTGAAGGCAGCTGATGTCTCCTGCTCCCTTCAGGGAAGGTGAGGCTTGTGGGGTGTACGTAACACGCGCAGGTGGTTCCGGGTCTGGAGCACTGAGAACCAGGTCTGGGCCCCGGGTGGACAGATGGACGGATGGACGCGGCCCAGGGCTTGATTCATTTCTGCTGAGCCCTTAGCAGCAGGGGGCAGGGACATCCCACGGGGCACCCCAGGGGAGCAGAACTGCACCAACCAACCACAGAGCGGGGGGGGGGGGGGGGGTACCGAGGTCAGCAAGGCCACCTGCCAGCTTGTGTTTCCCCACTTTAAAAAAAAAGACTCCCCCAATGAAATGAGACAATGTGATATTTCTAAAATCTGAGAAAAACATTTTTTTTTTTTTATGGTACCAGGGATTGAACCCAGAGGTGCTTAACCACTGAGCCATATCATCAGCCTTTTTAAAAAAAAAAAAAAAAAATTTTACTTAGAGACAGGGTCTCCTTGAGTTGCTTATGGCCTCTCTAAATTGCAGAGGCTGGCTTCGAATTCACCATCCTCCTGCCTCAGCCTCCGGAACCACTGGGATTACAGGTGTGCACCACTGCCCCCGGATTGGGAAAGACATTTTCACAGAGGTAGAGAGACAACGATCTTTTCTTCTATGAAGCAATTAAAAGATTAGTTTGTCTCTGGGGCCTAGGTCATTTCGTTCACGTAGAATTCCGTATATTTAAGAAGCACGAGCCTTTAATACATGAAACCATACTCCAGGCCCCAGGGATCAGAAATCTTGGTGACTTTCCGGGACTAGACAGACAGAATCATAAGAAATAGAGTTTGAAAGCAGACTTGTACCGCCACGGGACCGCGGTGTTCTAGGAAGCCGCTCTTCAGATTAGCGAAATGCCGTGGGGAAGCCGACCATCAGTTTGGAAAAGTGCGCAGTTAGATGGCCTCTCCCACCAGGCACGAAAGTCCACGGCAGCTGGATCGGAGGTCTAGCTGCGCTCTTTGCCACAGCCGCGGGGGGACGTTAGCGAGGGACTGGGAGCCCCTTGAACTAGAGGGCTTTTGGGGGTGGGCAATACTGGGGATCAACCCAGAGCCTCTGCACAGAGAGGCCAGTGACGGTCAACGTGATGAGCTCGGCCACGTCCCCGGCCCATAAGCCACTTGGTCTGCTGTTCTCCTAGGGAGCCGGCCACGGTGGGCGTCCCCGTCTCCTAGAGGCCCTGAAGCCCTAAGGGGAGAGAGCCACTTGGTCAGCTGGGGGCTTCAGCTCTCTCTTGGGGGGTCCCTAGCCCAGAGCTGGACGGTCACTGTCACCCACAGAAGCCTCACTAACTGGCACTCAGGCAAAGACCCTGGGAGGAGGGCACTGTGTCCGTCTTGCAGGCCAGGGGACCCGAGGTGAGCGTCGCGGGGTCTGGGAGATGCCCGTGAGCCCCTGCCCCGGATACTTGCCCATGCCAGGCCTGTGAGGACGGACAGCTTCCACTGAAACTTCCCAAACCCAATGGCTTCCACCGCGTCTTCCACCATGAAAGTATCTAGGAAGGAGAAGGGGAACGGAGGGAAGGGTCAGGGCACCTCGCACTGGTCCTGCGTGGGGTGTCGGCGATGGTCCCCAGCCAAGCTGATGAATCGCAGCACAGGCTGCTTCTAGAACTTACCCCAGCAGGAAAAAATCCTAGCAAGTGTGAAAAGATGTCTTGCTATTGTGACATTATTTATAGCAGGGAAAATAGAAACCCAGAATGTCCACCCGAAGAGGGCTGGTTAAATAAATCATTACATTATATATATAAATTACTAAGTGTTCACACGATGAAATACGACTTATTAAAAGAATTTATAGAGTTGGGCGCCGTGGCACACACCTGTATTCCCAGGAGCTTGGGAGGCTGAGGCAGGAGGATCACGAGTTCAAAGCCAGCCTCTGCAAAAGCCAGGCCCTAAGCAACTCAGTGAGACCCTGTCTCTAAATAAAATACCAAATAGGGCTGGGGGTGGGCTCAGTGGTCAAGTTCCTTGAGTTCAACCCCTAGTACCCCCCAAAAGAATGTATAGATAAAAAAATGTACATATTACTTTTTGGGGGGGAGGATACTAGGAATGAAACCCAGGGGTCCTCTACCACTGAGCCACATCCCCAGGCTTTTTATTTTGAGACAGGATCTAACTATGTTGCTGAGGCTGTCCTTGAACTTCCGATCCTCCTGCCTCAGCCTCCCAAGTCACTGGGATGATAGGCGTATGTCACTGGACCTGGCTCTATTAATTTAAAAAAAAAATGTTTTTAGTTGTAGATGGACACAATACCTTTATTTGATTTACTT